GGCTTGGATCCCCAGCAGGTGTTCCTCAGCCACTTCCAGCTGTGTGCAGCCCCCATCCCCCCAGGACCCTTCAGGCTTCCAGAGCACCCGGGTGGCCAGCATCTTCCCCAGCTTGCTCTTAGCTAGGATCCTTATGAACTTTCTCAAGATTCAGGACAATGCCTGGCCTCAGATTTGATGGGTCCTCAAACAGGGGCCAGATCAACCTGCTGACTTGCTGCGTGACCTCAAGGAAGTCACTGAACTTCTCTTGCTCTAGTTTGCTCATCTTTAACATGGAGGATTCAGCTCATTGTGCTCCAAGGCAACTGTCATAGCAGAAATGCTATGATTTGGTAATTCTAAGCATCTGAGAATGTTTTCTTTGGCCCTCAGCCATCCCAGGATGTTTGATAAAATCTGATCATTTGGATAAGTCCCAGGAAAGGAGCAGATCAGAGCCTGCGTTGGGTGCTGGGAGCCCACCTGATGGGAGAGTGTGTGTACATGTGGTGGGGAATAGGGAGCATGGTAAAGTGTGGAGACTGAGAACTAGAAAGAATTAAAGATTATTCAACTTGTTCCAAATATAGAAACTGAGCCCCAGAGAAGGAGATGATTCGTTCAAGTTCATACAGCTAGTTAAAGGCAGAACTGGGATTAGAATTAATCCATTCCTGGGTTCTTTCCCCTACAATGAGGATGACAAATACATATCCTTTTCCGCTCTCTGATCAATTAGCAGTGGCTGCCTTGAGCACTGACTTCTGGAAGGTTCCCAGGTCCTTCAAAATTCGCAAGAAGAATGCTGATTGATTAGCTATGTCTGATATGGCCACAGGAAAGGAGAGTACCCAGATTTTGTCAGCCAGGACTTACCAGGACTTGTGACAGAACATAATTGCCAGTGGGGAACTTGAGGCTCCTTCTTCACAGAGAAACAACAGGTGAAAAAAAAAGCAGTAAACTACATAACTCCTTCTACAGAAAACTCTTTTAAGTGTCTGGCCAAAAATTCAGAGGTGGTAGTCAATGCACGCTTAGGGGACCAGTTCAGTCAAAGTTTGCTAAGTAGCACTGGGAACAAATAGTATTGCAAACTATGAAAAGGGAAGCAGAACAAGCAAGGTAGAAACACATTGTATAATGTGCACCAGAAGTTTTTGTTGTATTTTTTAATGTTGCTCCAACTGTAATATCACTGCTTAGATGGAGACAGTGAAATTAATTGATTTACTTTCAGGAGCATAGTTGCAAAGTTGTATGTAAAACTATACGAACATATGGACTTGCTAATTTCTCCATGCCTAGATTTAATTCTAGTCAATAATAACAACAACAATAGCTATGTCATTTAATCCTCACGACAACCTTATGAGGTAAATGTTATTATCACTGATTTACAGATGAGGAAACTGAGGTGTAGATGGACTGAGGGTCCTGTCCAAGCTCACACAATTAATAGGTGGCAGAACTGGGATATGAATCTAACTTGTGATTTCAACATGTTCCTCTAATTAAAAGCTGGACCCAATCTGAGGCATATATGAGAACTCACGGAAGTTACTAGAAGTGGGGTATAGGTCTCTTCAGAACTGGCCTTGAAATTTCAACTCTTCTTAATACAAAAGCAACATCATGGTCTTTCCCTTGTTTTCATTTACTAGGCTCCAAATCACCAAACTTCTTTGCCTCTCTGGGAAAACTAAATGACCCACCACTTCAGAAGAATCTCATGGGGTCTGTGCATGGCTTTTCACATCCTCCCTGAAACACCAACACGCCCGGTCCGGGTTAAAGGATATCAGCACTGCCACACACTCTTCTTTTTCCCAAATTAATCAAGAAGTAGGAATTTCTGACAAATGCCATCTGCTGATTTTTCAGAGAGACAAGTTTTGGTGGTGTGACCAGCAGGTGCCTCAGCTTTTTCTAGCATGCAGTACCAAAATAGTCACCATGGCAACCCTGGGAGGGCAGACTTCCAAAGAGATGCATTGTGAGCACAGAAACTCTAGAGCACTTTCAAGCTAGAAGGAAGGAGGCTCAGCGGTGGGTTTCTAACAGTGGCAAGTAGCGCTTCTTCCCACAGCCCTGGGCTGGACCCCAGGCCCCTGCATACTGGGCACAGCCAGGACTCCCCGACCCTGGGGTGTGTGCTTCCAAGAAGAGGGGGGAAAAGGAATTTGTGGGGAGTGGCAGGCAGGTGGAGCAGACAACTCCCAGATTTCTGGCAGGAGGTAAAGTAGCATGGAGGGTGATAAAAGGTGCAGACCTGGGTTGGGAGGCAGGAGAATTAGGTTGAAATACCTGCCCTGTCGCTTGCTAACCAATGACCTTGGGCAATTGACCTTGCCTGTCTGACTCTCAGCTTCTCACTTTCGAAATGGGAGTGGTAAGCTTGCACTGCCTCTTCACAGGGAAAATTGTGGATATGATAGGAAGCTTGTGAAAACTGTTGGGAAAGTGCTCAGTGGACAGTGCCAAGCAGAAGAGAACAGGGATTTGGGGATCAGGAAGCTTGGGTTCTGGACCAGGCTCTGCTGCTTTCTAATCTTATGAGCTTGGGAAAGTCATAGAGCTTGTCAGACCTACACCCTCACCTTGGAAGAAGGTTCAGAAGCCCTGCCTCACAGAGAGGATGTGCAGGTTATCTGGGCTCTTTCTGTGACTTGGGATTCTGTACTCCCCTTTGGTGCAGACACCAAGACAGGATAAACCATACAGAGGATTTTACTAGTGGAAACATCTGTGAGATAAAAATGGGGAGGGAGCTGGTAGAGGCTAGGAGAGAGGAAAGGCTAGGAGAGCCATCACACCTTGATGCAAGTTTGACCCAAGTGCAGGAGAGAGGGAAGCAAGGTTGGGTGGAAGCTCCTAGACTACCTATAGCAAGGCCATCAGAGAGTCCTCAAGCCAAAGTCACCTATCAGAGAAGTTCCCTGTCTCTTGGAGACAGTTCTGCCTTAGTATCCCTACCACACTCAGTTGCTGATTGTCTGGAAGCAGCCAACAGGAAGAGTGGCCTCTACATAAATATGGGTGCAAGCAGCTAGAGGCCATGATCATCTGAGCTCCCTCTCCAGGAGACATATTCTTATGGCCACCACACCTACCCAATCCAGATGTTTTTAGCTTGGACATCCACCTCAGGTACTTGGCCTCAGGCCCACACCTCTACTTCAGAAGCCTTGTACCCCACATCCATGGTCCTCTTACCCAGAATATTATAGGAACTCAGGCTCAATGATATCTTAGAACACCACCCCTAGGAAAAAATTTATTTTCTACATCTTAATTAGATTATGTAGCAAAGGTGCACAGTCACTGTTCCATTCTGCATTTGAATGCACGCAGGTGTAGGAATGCATGCTTATTTGTCAGTGTGCATGCATATGAATAGTATATTTGTATATATAGATGAGCATTTATATCTACGTGCATGCATGTTGTGAATTTACGCAACAATACCATTAGCCCATTAGCACTACATAAGCATTTTGCACACAGTATCTTTGATCTTTACAACTATCTTTGAGGTAGATAAGCAGGTAGTGTTGCAGGTACAATCCTTGTTTCCCCCAACATGCTTTCCCCAACATGCCACTCAGATAATACAAGGTAGAGTCATGGTTTGCACCAGAAATGTCTTCCTTCAAAGTTGCAGCTCTTGTCCTTTCTGCCACCCACCCCCATCCCACCTACTCATATGACTATGTGTTGCATGAAAGCACATATGTGTGCATATATAAAAAAGATTCAGATAGGGGAGGGGAATATAGCTGGAGAGGTATAGGTTGATTATGGATTGGTGACTGGTGAAAAGTATTTCTGCCAGAAGCCCCCACTCTCCAAAATGTAATTCTATTAGTGTGTGTCATCTAAAAACATATTGCATTCTAGCTGTAAGAATTTCTATTTAATGGGCTACAAAGACAAATTTTGGAGATTCTAAGCAACTTGAGTCTCTTATTCTTCTAGTATAATCAAACAGTGATCCACTTTCTTGGCCTTCCCCCAAAATCCTTGCTCCCATGGCAAGTTTTTCAGCCTACCTGGTGGAAATTGTTTTGTCCTGATTGGGAGGTATTAAAGAAAAAATATCTACTCCAACACCTTAGTTTTCCAAATCACTTGTCTTTGCTTGTTTCCCAGCAGCATGAAATACTACTCTGGAGAAATAGATTTAGAATCAGTTTCAATTGCCATTTATTGATCACAGGCACTATGCATACAATTTTCATAAATGATCATATTTGATTTTGATTCTCGTCAAAATGATTTCTATTCAGCAATGAATAACTGAGGGTCTAATGGGTTAGGAGACTTACTCAATGTACCCTGTTAGTAAGGGGACATAACAGGAACTAGAGCTGGGCTCTGCAGAACTCATGGCCTGGCTCTTTCCACAGTATTCACATTCTCTCCAGGCAGAAGATACGATCTGCCCAAATAATTGCTTTCCAGGCCATCCACTAGCTCTGCTGTATCCTGGGAACCTGCAGGACCAGCCAAGCCCCGGACAGGGCCGCTTGGGGCCAGGGCAGGTAGACTTACCTGGAAGAGCACCAGCCTGGCTATCAGCATATCCACTTTCTTCCCATTTCCTTTTGCAGCCTCCTTCCTTGGTTCACAATGACAGTCCAACTTCTGCCAGTCCTGACTGTCATTCAAGCCTTTTTGCTATTTAAGAATTTTGAGGAAGAAAACCGTCATGTACTCAAAATCCTGGTAATCAGAAGTGTCTGGAGATTTCGAGCTGTTAACATAGAGAGGTGGCAAAAGTATTTTCTAGGACATCCTTATGGGCCTGAATGGCAGCGGGAGTCGACATAGCTGGTGCCTGGGCAGGTTTCCAAAGCACAGGCGAGGTGGAGAGTAGGTGAGGGCTGCAACAAAGGCCCCGACATCTGAAGAGCACTGCACAGTTTGTCAGCGGCTTTCAGCTCCACATTCCCACTTAGTCCTCACAGCAACCCCATGCAGTGACTGCTGTCACTCCTTTTCATGGCTGAGGAGACTGTTGGGAGAGGAAAAATGAATTGCCCACTGGCAGGCAGGTAAGAGGCAGAGCTGAAACTCTCACGTAGTTCTTCCAATTCCAGGCCCAGCATCTCAGGATTGTACCCAAGTGGCTCTCGCACCAGTATCAGGGCCAATGGCAGGGTCAGCAGAAAATAGCAGAGGGGCTTGAAAACAGATGGGAACATCTGGAAAAGGTAAGGAAGTTGTCTTAGTCACTATAACAAATATCCTAGGCTCGGTAGATGAAATCACAGAAATTTAGTTCTCATGGTTCTGGAAGCTGGGAAGTACATGTTGAGTGTGCCAGCATGGTTGGATTCTGGGGAGGGCCCTCGCTTGACATCTCCTTGCTGTGTCTTTACATGGCAGAGAGCAGAGAGAGGAAGAACACTCTTCTGTCTGTCTTTATACGGGCACTAATCCCACCCTGAAGGTCCTGTCCTCATCACCTCATTACTTCCCAAAGTCTCCATCTCCAAAAACTATTACACTGGGGATTAGGGTTTCAACATAAATTTGGGAGGAATGCAAAAATTCACTACATAGCAGAAGTATAGAGCACTGGAGGCCCAGTTCATTTAGTGTAATGAATGTCACTATGCTAGGCACTGGGGATATGGCCTGAACAAGGTCATCCAGACCCTTCCCTAAGAAGTTAGACTCCAGTGGGAAGACCAGTGGATAAACAGGCAATTCCAACACAGAGGAACAAGCATTCTGGTGATGGAGGGACATGCAGGCTCTGTTGGTGGGTAGGGGAGGGCACCACACCCAGATGCAGTACTGCACCTCTTGATTCATTTTCCAAATATACAGAAATGACTTGGGGTTTGCAGAAGGAGTGAAAAAAAAAAACTGAAAGGTAGTTGCTGTGGGAGGAGAGATCCAAGAAGGCTTCCCAGAATAGGTGGGCAGTCTTCTGGAACTGGGGCCCTGAAGGGTGGGTAGAATCCTGATGTGCAGAGACTTGGAAGAGAAGTATTGTAGCCCAAAGAAACAGCATGGTCCCTGCAGAGGCATGAAAGGGAAGATTCCTGGGGGTAATCACCCACCTTCAGAGCCTGTGTAGGCACCACATAGGGTAGGGTAGCAGGAGACACAGCTGGAAAAGCAGATGGGGGTCAAGTCCGGCCTTTCAAGGTTTGGACTTTATCTTACAGGCGGTGGGGTGCTGTCGGGAGCATTTTGAGTGGGGCAGTGACACTGCTGGCTCTGCATTTTGGAAAGGTGGTTTTCAGGGCAGTTTGGATGATGCTGGGGAGTGGCTGACAGGTTGAAGATCAGTCCTGAGGAGCAGGTCGGTGAAACATGATAGGGGCATTAGCATTCAATCCAGGGGTGTGAGCAGCGAGGTGGTCACCCAGGCTGGCTTGAGGAGCAGCATAAGCACACAAGCCCCAATCATATCTGAGGAGAAGTGCAGATCCACCTGGAGGAGCTAGGTTTGCCTTACATCCAGGAGGCAAGCTCAAGGCTAATGATGAGCCAGAGGGCAGGGGCAGAGCAGATGAAGGGACTCTATGAGAGTGCAGGGCCAGGGTGGGATGCCAGGGGTGGGGGTGGGGGGTTGGGGTGTGAGGGCTATTGCTGGAAAGGGCCACAGGGCCCACATTGAATGTGAGTGTGCATGAGTGCGTGTATGTGTGTTGGGCTGTATGTGTGGACAGCGAAGGATCCATGGACATGTCCCGGGCTGGGAGGAGAGGGCACTGGGTTACAGGGTGACGGACCAGGAAATAATGAGGGCCCCCAAAGGCCTGGAGGGGAGACACACCGGCAGGAGCAGGTCTTAACACCCACATGGGCACTCAACCCTTTGCCATCTCTGTAGCTGTAGAAAGCAGAGCAGTGAGCTTCCCAGAACAGTTTTGTTCCCTTGGTCGTGCATCATACTGGAAGGCAGTGCCTGCAGCATCTCCCAGCTGTCCAGCTCAGGAGTCCAGCCACCTTACCCCATGCACCTACTTAGCACGTGATACCAGACACAGACATGAAAACCCAGTCTTTAAAAAAAAAAAAAAAAAACTTGAATCAAACTCCTTTCTGGCACTTTCCACTGATTTTCTAGACATTTGTCCTCTGTACTCAGGGCTGAGGAAACCGGCTTGCCTGCAGGCTGGTCGTTCCAGGGGGTTCCTTTGAAAACTTCCTGCAGTGTCCAGGAGCGAGCAGCCTGCTGCACACAGGACGCAATGCCTGCTGAAATCCCACTTGAAAGTGAGCGGCATCGCTGAGACAAGCCTAGATCCTTTTCAGCACAGCGATTCCTTCCTTCCTCCCTTCCTCCCACAGCTCGGCTAGAGTTTTCTGCCCAGAGGAACTCTGTGAGAGCGTTTCAGAGTCATTCGGGCCGCTTGCCCCCAACAGGGCGACGCTGGCTGGCTGACCCCCCTCCTGCTGGGGGGTACTGTACCCACGGCCCGGGGCTTCTCTATTCCTCTCCTCCCCTCCCGCTGCTGACGCACGCTTCCTATAATAAGCCTCTGTTACTTGGAGCAGGGGCGGCTCCGTAGTAAGCCGAAACCGCTACTATATTTACACCCTTTCCACATTTAGACAAAGGCTATTTTTAACAGAAGGTCTATTTGTGGGGGTTGCCCACGTCACACTGTTCACATGCATCTCACCATCCTCAGTCTGTTCTTCTGATTTCACACTTGTACCGGGCCTCTCTCCTTCTCTCTCTCTCCTTCTCTCCATCATTTTTCTTTCGTTTCTTTCTTCCTTTCTCCAATTTCCTTCCTTCCTTTAATCAGATTGAGGTCTTTGGCAGGCTATATTGCCAGAGTCCTTCAGGGGACGGCGAGGCTCTGTCCTCATGGAGCAGAGTGGGCAGTGCGGCCACATGCTAGGCTGTGAACTGTTCTTGGCACCTACCGTGGGGACCAGCAGAGACCCCAGTCCCCAGGGCTCCATATTGGCCCGCTCTGCCTCCAAGTTTTTGTGAGCAGGATGCTGGGACCATGACAGCCTGGCCTTTTCTCCTCATGCCAATCTAGTTTTATTGGTGGGAGGGAAGGGTGTGTGTGTGTGTGTGTGTGTGTGTGTGTGTGTGTGTTGGGGGAGGGGTAGTGAGCAAGGTCAGAGGAAAATAAGCCAATGGGGTCATCATTCATGCAGAACACCTTTTCAACTTAAAAGTTAATTTTATCAGATTTGTCTTAGATGACACAGTTTTCGTTTGGGTGAAAGGAAGTTTCATATTTCCTACACGCATAATCCACTTATGAAAAGGAGGGGGGATGCATGGAGTTAGCACATATTAAGTGCCTGTTGTAGTCAAGCCCTATTGGGCATCAGGGACATCTGGACCCTGAGAACGGAGTGAAGGGGTGGTCCTGCCTGCACCAGGTTTCAGATGAGGAGGTTGAGGCCTGCAGAGATCTGGGACTGGCCTAAATTCACTTAGCTGGTAAGTGGCTGTGCTGGGACTTAAATCTACGTGCCTGGCTACAGACTGTGTGCTGGCCCCAAATCTCAGACCTCCCCCATTGTTACCTTTTCAGCTCTCTAAAAAATCAGCGGTCTTCATTAACACTCTTTCTGTTATTTTCTTTCCCTAGTTCTGCTCCTCTCCTCATCCCCCACCCCAATGAGAAGAGACCTTTCCCACCTCAGAACCCCATCTGCACTTCTTTGGTCTACTTCTTCAGATGATGAGTCATCTGAAACACACACATGTCAGAATCTAAAAAGGACAACAGAAAAGGCCTTGCGGGCACTAAAGGGTCCCAGAGAAACCCCATGTTGTCAAATCTTGCGTTTTTCCCCAGCAGTCAATTTGGATTGTAGCTTCTGAGTGAAATATTGTTACTGCATTTCTGAGAGAGGAGAGCTGAGATTTGAATCCGCCTCAGACTGTGCTGGAAACAGAATACAGAGCCCATCACAGGATGTCCTGCCCTCTGTAGCCTCGTTTCTGAAAGTATCATTAAACATGTGGGAACCAAATGCCCCCTGAGTCCCCATATTCAAGCCTTTAAAATTGCAGATTCTGGTTCAGACATTTCCTAGAGACTCTGATAAGAGATTATTGTCTTCTTGGTGTCCTAGTGTCAGGGGTTCTGAGCCCAGGAGTCTAGCAGCTGTAACATGAGGCCAAGTCACATTCATCTCTAAAATAGAGATAATAATGTCCCTTGCCCACTCACCCACTTCACAATTTACAGAGATGTTGCAGTGAGACAATGCATGTGAGTGTGCTGCTGTGAAAGCCGGCAAACACGACAAGACTGCTAGTCGCTAGTACTGATGTTTTCATCCTTAGTGAGGATGTGAGAGAGGGCTCAGGAAGGCCAGGTGACATGTACAAGGTCACACCGCAAGTAAGTGGTTGAAATAAAGGCACAATAGCCCTGTGTCCCTCAGCAAGGGGCTGAAAACAAATTACAGAGCCAGTAGAAAGGCTCGGGTGCTGAGCTTTAGCAACGCTAGGCTGAGCTCAGTCCAGAAATGGGGACACCGATTTGGGACGAATCCCATCACTCTCCCCAGCTGACCCTCCCTGTACCTTGGTCCCAGTGGCTTCTCAGGCTTCTCTGCAGCATGGGTGTCCTGCCTTGGCCAGAGCCGAAATCCCAGAGCGGTGAAAGAGGAGCCAGTGTCATGGGGCTTCTGGTTTCAGGACACACTGGAAAGGTGAGAAGGAAGCTTGTCTTCCCATGGATCTGGGCCAGGCCTGGGTGGCGGGGCCTCCCCGCCAGGAGCTGGGACGTTCCCTAGGTGCCCGGGCATCCCCGGGTCAGGAGGGCCACCAGCACTTTTTCAAAGCATTAGCTTGGTCAGAAAATAAATCATTCGGCACTTTGCAGAAACCAAATGCTTTGTCAGTGCAGGCAAAACCTGCCCCAGAATCTGCAGCCTGGGAAGGCCTTGTGCTCACCTGGCTTAGGGGCCAGTTTAGGGAAAAGAGGCCCCTGCTCTTTGTACCTGCTTACTGGAGGAGTTGATGAGAAAACCTACACACCTTGACCTCCATGACTCTGACCTTCACATCTTGGCCACGCCCTTCTCACCACTACTACCCATCAGCCACCAGCCACCACTCCACCTCTCTACCCCAACCCTCATCAGACTTTCACCTGCTTTCAAGGCTCAGGTGTTCCTCCCTATGTGAAATCTTGTCTGGCCCTCTTTCTCCCAGTCAGGAATAATTTACCCCTGCTCCCTTCTCTGTGCCCTTAGTGTTCTCTGTGAATGTGGTAGCAGTCTCAGACCAGTCTGTGCTGGAGTTATCCTGGCACCCAGCCTACAATCAGAGGAGTCGTGCGGTTCATCCATGGAATTTGAGTCAGGCTTAGTTTTCACCTCTTCTGAGGGTGGAGCAGAGCCTCTGGGCTGGAGAGATACAAACAGTGTAGAAGATGCTATGGTGTCCCACCAGCTCCCCTTTTAAGGACCAATGCACACCCCCTGCCCCCAGCTGCTGAATGCCACCTGTTTGCCTGCTAATGACCCACAGATGCCCCCCTTCTCCAGAGAATGGCTCTCAGAAGACAGAAGCTGCATCTCCACGAGGTTACAACTTTCTCCCCATACCTGCTCCCTAATCACCGCCACCACAGGCAATGACTAAGTGACACAGAAATGCAAAAGGGTAGTCCCCTCCCCTCAGGAAGGGACATCTCTGCAGTATGCTTCAGGCTCCAGAGAGTCAGTCCACTTCTATCCCCTCTCCAAGGATCAGCCCAAGGCTGGCTTTCCCTGAAATCACAGTTTAGGATGAGCAGCCTGAATTTCAGTTTTACACTGAAATTCCCATGTCCCATCAGTTTTGGGCAAATGGGGCTGATTGACTAGCTTAGACTGGGTTACCAGATTTAGCAAATAAAAATACAAGATACCCAGATATATTTGCACTTCAAATAAACAAAGGATACGTTTTGAGTATAAGCAGGCTTCATGCAAGACTTGCAACATACTTATAATGAGAAATTACTCATTGTTCATCTGAAATGCAAATTGACCTGGGCAGCCTATATTTTATCTGGTAGCCTGACCCTTGACCACACCTGTGTTTGTCTCTCTCCCTGCTCCTATCCTGCTTCCTTTCCTCTCTCCCTTGTAGGTTTTTCCTGAAAAGCACTCCCCCAGTAAATCACATGTACCTAAATCCCTGCCTCAGGTTCTGCTTCTAGGGAATCTGACGTAAGACTGTCATTAGTCCCTCTCTGCTGCCTAAGGTGACCAGAGAAGTCCTTTCATTTCCCCTGAACCTTGCAGAAACTTTCTTTTTGTGCAAACTTCACCTGGTCCATCCTGGCTAGAGTGGGGGAAATCATGACACTAATTGTCACCAGCTGAGGTCCTCCAGGTCCTCACAACAGCCCTGAGTGGTGGCTACAATTCTTAGATGCATTTTTAGATGAGAAGACTGAGGCAAGAGAGATGCAATAGCTTACCTGGCCTCACAGAAAGTGGCAGTGCCTCAATACAGAACCATATTTCCTGTCTCTTAGACTCTTGCTTCATCAGTGCCTCCCAGGGAATCCAGGAGAGACACAAGAGCAAGGCTTTAGCTTTGCTGATCCACCCCCACCCCCCAACCCCTGCAGCATTCGGACTTCAAGTTTTTACCTTGTCTCTTGTCACTGGAAGGATGGGGCAATTCCAGGTACGCTCTCTGGGTGACCCAGGGAGCTAGCCACTAACTTCACATTTGTGCAGAACTGGCTTCCCAGAAACCACAGGAAAATGGGGGTATCCAGAAATCCATGTGGCCACAGCCCCCTTTAGGAAGACTCTATTTTCATTCATCTATGACAGAACTAGGTTCGTGGCTTAGGGTCTGAGCCTTGATTTAACCATGAACATGAGAACTAGATTGACCTCTGGGGGATCATCCAGCTATGGCCCAGTGGGATTTGAAGTTTCCATAGACCTGACATTCATGTTAAGTACTTAACCTGGTAGCTGGCACAAGGTAGAGCTCACCTAACAGTGGCTATAGGTAGTAGTATTTCCCATAAGCAACAGTAATAAGAACATCTGATTCCCCAGATAACACGAGAGTGATAAGAATATGTCCTATAGCGCACTCAACTAAACAGACTTCAGCTCAAAGCCATCCAAAGATGGAATGAGTCGCCTCAGAGGGCAGTGAGCTTTCTGTCATTTCACAGGGAAGAAAAGGGAGGGAATCTGTTT